ATTCTGTATTTTTTGTAATTTATTATAAAGTTACGATGGATATCATTTTTCTCATAACAGGATTTTGTGAATAACGTGAGGATTCTTATGACGAATCCACGTCACTAGGATCTCTTTTTGAAGAAGATCCTACAACGTAGTGAAACAGCGAAATTCAACGTGGTGACACGAACCAGGATATCAAGAGGGTGGTTACAGACTCGTAAATCTTGCGGATCAGAAAATTCATTCCGCTGGGGGATTAACCAGCTGGAAGAATCAATATCGTTTCGAATCTCGCGCCATCTTCGAAATCGAACCAATCTTACGTTTTCATATTCGACCGGTCTTCACGTTTAAGAAACGTGAAAGCAAACTAGAATAATGGATATTAATTTTTATTCGAATTCGAAAGGTTTATGGAAGTCGAACGACATTTCGGTTTGATGTAGCTGAAATTATTGCATATACGATAATTGTCGCTAGGATGATCGTAATTTTTTATTGTGAGGGGAACTAAAGTGATTGTAGTAATACCATTTTAGGTAATAAGGATGAATTTTCATTTTGAACACTTGTTCAAAATGAATTAAAGTATACGAATAATATTAGAGTAATTGGGAATAAATTCTTTTTCTTTTTCATAAAAAATTCATTTAATTATATTCTTTTGATAGTATAAATGAACTGTTTATGCAAATGTGATGAATTTAAATATAAATTTATTTTATTTTCTTAATAGTATGAAGATCTAAATATTTTTTATATTATGTTTTATAATGCACATCTTTGCAAAATAATAATAAATTTGTATAATTAATCATTTATAAAAAGGAAAAATTTTAGTAAATTATTTATACTATTATAAATTATTAATTTATTCATGAAAGATATTTTTAAGGATATTGATTTTAGAGATTAAAACGAATATCCTACACGCTAGATATTATTGATAAATTAATAATAATTTTATGTCTTTATATTAATATCTAATTCAACATTTTCTATTACTCTCACAAATTATTGTATTATAGTATATTAAACATTATCAATTTTAATCGAGTTGTTTTCAAATTTATTTTCCATATTTTTCAAATATTTTTATTCATAGTCACGATTTCTTCCACGAAAAAACTTTACAAAAAAACCACCGAAAAGAATGAAGACAAAACTGGAAGAAACATTGCTGGGAATATTTCTAAAATTATGCACGCGTGTGTAGACGTTCAACTCGTAGACGAAATATCTGCATATCAACGTAGTACTTGAGATTCTCCTCGTGGCACGGCATAGTTACTCGTTGCACACGGAACTTCATTCGCATTCGTGTGTGCGCGCCATCGACATCGTCGCAACCCTTTGAGTCGGTGGTTTCAACGCATGTTGGGATGCCTCGAACGAAGACGTGTTCCTACCCTTGTGTGCCATTGACTTTTTACGCTGAGCTTCTTTCACACGCGTCTCCCTTTCCTCCAAGATTTTTATCTTATTGTCCATGACACTTGGCATATTCGAATTCTCTGTATTTCTTTTATTTTGTATTTTGATACACAGAATAATAATTCGTTTATATCAATTTCAATATCAATTTAATATTTAACTTGTGCTTTTATTCGACATTTAAAATCAGTTCAAAGTAATAAATCTTTTTTTATAATTGAGTTGGAATTATACTATATGGTATTATAAAGTGATAATGAGAAGTTTGAAAGGGGCATTTAAAAATTCCATTTTCAGAAAGTATAATATCACGACCAAAGTTTATTATATTGCGTGAATAATGCATTATAGAAATTTTTATTTTATTTAATGTAGAATTATAATAAAAGCGAGAGGATTTTATTCGATGCCAAACTATTATGAAAGTTTAATACAATATTATAATGATTCTTGTTATTATAAAAAACACTTTTATTAATGAATCAATTTGTAACATTTGAAACATAAAAATAACGTGTTTATAATTATATAAAAATAAGTATTTCTTTTCTATAAATTCTATACTTTTAATCATTACTTAGTTTTGCTTATATTAAGTTTTCATGCTAGTTTCGATGAATTTCCTTCTATCTCACAGAACCTCTACCTTTCTATTCCGTCCTTTCCGTCTTCTCGCGTCAGTCAGCCGATGAACTTGTCAATTTTCGTTGGCAGAACGCGTGAAACGATCGGCTGGAGTGAACTCGGTTTTAGGCTGCATCGGATTGACACTTTCACGACGCAACCTTTTTCACGAGAAATATCGATGGTAGACAAGCGTGCGCTTGCCTTTCCGAGGGATAAAAAAATCTTGAAATTCAACGAATTACATTGCTCTCAATATTTATATTCAATCTTTTTTTGAATTTGAATTTCACAATTGAAAATGTAATCTTAATTTTTAATATAATGATCATTCCTTTCCAGGCAAATTTTCTATAAAATTTTTAAATTATCCGGGAACATACTCTTTCCATCTCCTTTGATCGATCGACAGTAATAAGCGACAACACAGTATAAACGACATCCTTAAATCTATGACATCTTCTCAGACATAGTTCAATATACTCCTCAAAAGGAACAATTCATAAAAAGAAAAAAAATTGTTATCTCAATATAAAAATTTCGTCAATAAATTATTTCCATAATTGTATATATTAAAAGAAAAAAAGAAAAAAAAAGAAACGATTCAATAAGGATTGAAATAAGTTTCATCTGCGTTAAAAAGAAATTTCCATTGAGACGGTATTTAAAACGTCCCCCCGTTTATTGCCTGTTACAGTTTGGACAGAGATCAGCCGTTCACATTCCAACTGGGAGTTGGCCAAGTTATTAAAGGTTGGGACGAGGGATTGGTGGATATGTGCGTGGGCGAAAAGAGGAAGTTGACCATACCGCCGGAACTCGGATACGGAGAGAAAGGAGCCGGAAACGTAATTCCTGGAGGTAAGATTGTTTCATCCGAGCTTCTTACGATGTCTAAAGTTTCTTCTTATTATTATTATTTCATCGTTTTTGCCGGATAGAAATTACTTCTTGTCGAATGTCATGATAAACAATCGTTTCGTTTACGAGTATTCGATAATAATCTCTAGAACGTACGAATAAGGTAGATATATAAATTATAGGACGTGTTCGAGCATAGAGTATTTATCATTTTCATTCTTTCTTCTTATTTTAATTTATTATATATTTTTGCGAAAATATAATGTTTCATAGTTGTATGTGTCTTTAAGAAATTATATTATATTTCTTCTTAAGAATATTTCTTAATAATATGATCATGTGTATTCATTTTAATTTATATAAAGTATGTTGGAGCACAAGATTTAGATGTTATATTACTTTCATTCTATAAATTTTTACAGTATATCAAATATTTTACTGAATACGATTCAATGAAAGAATATTTAATGTTAAAGATGTATATAATATAATTAACTTAAAATTTCCAAAGATACTATACTTACTATAGAAAAATTATTTAACAGGATATCGATTTAATACGCTTAAAAAATTCTTCTTTTAAATAGAATTATTAAATTTACTCTATTTTAAATCAATGCTAATAATATCTAAATCTAGAACCACATCGAATTTCAAGATATTTCAATTCATAATTAATTCAAAATCTTCTAAAGATATTTACTACAGATAAAATTATCAGTCAAACATCAATCTAATAAATTCAATCAAAGAAAGAAAATTAATGAAAACGATTAATATCTTGATACTAATTTATTTGTAAAGAGAGAAATAGATTCAGATTTTGAAATACTTCAATTATAATTCTAATCCATCTAATCTAATAATATTCTATCTATCTAATTTATAAATATCAAAACTTTTCCTGTCCATTATCCATTCTATATTCCGCCAATAAAATCTCTTCTAATCTAATCACGATCAGAGATATACGTGTATGCATATTCGATACTAACTTTCGATTTATCTAACGTGTATTCCCATGGAAAAAATGAGCGGACAAACTGTCGCTGTTGATCCAGCTCGATGGCTGGTGCTCGATTTAATGGTTGACGCTTTATTGGATTTCCGTGCAATTGCATTTTTTAGTCCGATTTCATTACTAACGATTCCCCTTTGTATCGATTCGTTCGTTGGTCCCATTCGTTTGTTCCCGAGAATCGATGGAACTCACGGATAATTTGAGAAGAGTTAACATTAAAATCGTCGTCGTCAAACCGGTTGAATTTCGTTCCCTTTAAACCGAGACGATTTCTCTCATCGAGGAACGAACGTTTAATACGAATTTTCAAATGATGATTTCAACGTTTCAAAATGTTGAATAAATTAAACATACGTTGAGATGTACTTCGAAATTTAAATACGTTTTCGAAATTCGACGTAATTACGGTTTAGGTAACTGATAATTATAATAATGATTAATCGATAATATATAAATGCTTAAATTACATTCATTCATGAATATCGAAAATATTTGAGAATAGACTGATATAGAATTTGGAATTGATAATAGAGTATCTATCTTTGTCAGATTGATTATTCATTGAAATATTTCTAAATCTAAATTCATCTAGAATTATTGCATTTACTTTTATTAATTCTATATATATATTAAATTCTTCACTTTAAATGAATATTATAAATGATTACAATAATTTCTCGAATTTTATTTTCATATAACACTTTTCCTACAAAAATTTTCTTTGTAATAAATAATGGTATATAATTAAATTAATCGCATAATTTGAAAATTTATGCATCTATTATTAATATCAAATATTCCTTTGCGAAAATTTTCGTTTCGGATTTGATTAATGAGTTATTAAGAAAAAACATTGATCAATCACAAAGCATATGAATTTATTGCACAGTAGTGTTGGGTATAAGTCGCTGGCGAGTCGTCGTGCTGGAATAAAACAATCGAAACAATATATTTATCATTTTATTTTAAAACCATTTTCACTTAGCTCGAATATTAATTAACGAAAATTTAGAAAATGTAATGATCCTGAAAATGAAACAGATTTCATATTCATCTATCACGGTTGAATCTTTCACGGTTTTTCTTCTCAAATTGTCTGTGACGAAAGAACGTGTAACGAGAAATTAGAATGTTCGAGGGTTTTGCAACACGAGCGAGGTAACTGCGGTTTGTGCGTTTTATACTTAATTAACTTCTTCACTGGTTCGTCTCCTTTGTGAAAAATATTTGCGCAACACGACATTTACATTAGCAGCGAGGCGAGACTGGGATATTTGTTGAGTCTCTTCACAGCTGCTTCGTTCTGGTCAACTTTCGTTCAACAACGTTTCTGAATACGTTATATACGGTTCAATGAATGTCAGATGCGATTATCTTTCGTGGAAAAAAAGGATTAATTGAGATTAGATTTTTTTTAACACAGCTATCAATGAATTTCGTAGATATATTTCTATTATTAGATTATTTGATTTTCTTTCACTTTATCTGATACTTAAATTAAATATGATAGCCAAATAGAAAAGAGCATATTTAAATTTCTAATTTTTATATAAAATTATACAACATAGTCTATCTATTCCATATCTTGTCTGTTTCTTATATTCATCGATTCCATTAAAATAAAATCCATTTTTGATGCTACAATGAGAATATTAAAAATAGTTTAAACAGTCATATAGTATTATTTATTTTTAAATATAGATTAATTCGAATTATTCATTTTTTTCTTTTTTCTTTATATATAGGAAATAATGGAATGATTATGTTTTCCCTTATTCCTTGATCTATATATCATTACATTAATTTGTATTTTAAGCAGTTAAAAATTATTCTATAGAGAAAGAAATATACCAATACATATACATATACTGATATTTCGAAAAATTATAAACACGTTAAATTTTCATTAAATGTGATGATTAGATCTATAAACGATACAACAGATATGGAACAATATCATGTATAAAATATTTGATTGACTATTTTGTCATTCTTCCCTCTATTCTAGCAGCCACTATTTCAACTAAATGGAAAAGCACTTAAAATGAACGCGAAATCCATCAAAGTAACTATTCTATACCCTGATAAATGGGAGAAAGTGGCTTTGAGCAATCAACCGATCCTCCACAACCTCTAACCCGTTATTTCTCTATCTGATCACCGCACACAACCTCTGAATTTATACGGGGCTCGCCGACAAATGAAATCTATTCGACCGCTGTATTAATTACACACGTTTAAGCAGTGAATAATTAAACAGCATATTTCATTAGGTTACAGCTTAATCAACGATATAGGATCGTCCATAATTAATATGAAATAATGCATCGATGCACGCGCATCGTTATTCGTTCGATTTCGCTGAGAATTCCTCGCGTGGCCGATCGTATTGTTATCGATATAAAAATATGTATACGCATAAGGAAACATTGTATAACCTGGAGAGAGATTTGTCGTTCTTAATCGACAAGCCCGACTCGACGGCTGCGTAAGAATCGTCGAGATGGAATTGATCGATAACTCTGGAAATTAAAACGCACGTGACTGATTACGAGCTCGTTTCATTCTTTAATAATCGTCGTTTTATTACACGGGGGTTGTGTCACGTAAATGGAATTATCCGTAAGGTGCTTTGTTATGAGCAGATTATTTATTGGGATCAGAAAATTACAACGTTCAGAGATAGAAATAAGATAATTTCTCTGTTTAATAAATGTATATCGTAAATGTTTTATATCGATGTTATATGTGTTATATCAAGGATATAACATTTTTATTCTATTTTATTAAGATCATTAATAATATGCGATTGGTTTGTTGAATTTTAATTAAAATTTATGGTGAGAAATTTTATCGTGGGATTTATATGGTATTGTATTATAAAGAAAGACTTTTTATTAAGAAATATAAAGAAATCTAATAATTGGACGAGTAAATGAAGTTTATACGAAGTTTATTGAAAAATGAATTAAAATTTAAATATGTAAAATATATTTTATTGAAATCGAAAATCTGTTTTCATGATTTAGAATACATTGAAAGTTTAAAAAATTAATAGTTGAAAATAATTTAAAAGTGAAGAATTTAAAAGAATTTAATATGAAAATTCAAAGATTGTGTTAAACTCACAAAGTTAATTTGACAAAAATATTGGAATTGTAATATTTTCATATTAATTACAAAACAATCTACTTGTATCAAGTGTTTGTACCAGTAACTATCTTTGTATTTATCAGTTACATCGCGTGAAGTAGTTTAACTAACATTTGTCGGTGGCTGCACCGATCGATACAAAACCGTGAAAATGATTTACGACAGTTTCGCGACGTAAACCGTGTTGAACGAAGTGATATTTACAAAAAAAAAAAAAAAAAAATACACGAGCAAAGAGACAGTTGAATTAAATTTGAAATAAACTCATCCGTCTATGCAATTTTTTATTTATTTAGTCGCGAATAAATGTTCCATTTCATAGATAAATGTTATGCCATTAATCATAAAATCGAGTAAAGTTTTGCCAAAATCCATATTTCTTGTTCGCTGTAGGAACATTCTGATATTTCTACGAAATTAAATTTTTAACTATCATAAAGATCGGATATGAAATCGACAAGAATCGTTTTAAATTTAAGTAAGATTAAGCTAAAATGAGATTGAAATAAAAAAAAAAATTATATTCTCAAGTATTTTTTAATTAATATAATTAATAATCTAAAAAAAATACCTCTGGCATAAATAAAATTTCTTATACTAATAATTAATTAACACGATTAAATATAATCAACTTATTTCCAACAAAAAACTCAAGATAACTTCTAAATCAATTTACAATCTTAGAGATACCATTAATAATATCCTTATAAGCAATATTTTTCCAGAAATAAATATAATCATCACGTAATTTATCATAAAACTCGATTAAACTCTATTAAAATTAGGGAAACTTTAAACCGCTATAACTTCGAAGATAATTACTTTTTGTAAATG